GAATATTATAATAACCTTTGATATAAATTAAAATATAATTTTTTTCTCTTTAAATTAAAATATAATTAAACCTATTACAAAACAAATACCTTACACAAGAAAAAAAAGGTTAAAACCCTTTTTTGGTCCCTGAACTATTGTACGGACCCCCAATTTGGTCCCTGAACTAAAAAAATCTCTGATTTGGTCCCTATTGTTTACCATTTTTACCCTGATTTGGTCCTTCCGTTAAAAATCCAGTGACGTGTACTGTTAACTAACGGGAACACGATGACATGGCCAAATATCGTGACACGTCATATGTACACATGGAAAAAAGATGACATGTCATAAAACATGTCAGATTCCCGCCAAGCAAAAAAAATAAAAACATGGGGCCCACCTCCTGCCCAAACTCAATATCTTCTCCCCCTTCTTCCCATTCGAACCCTAGAAGTGCAGAGGGCACATCGTACCTGCAGAAAAACCAAAAGTCCCATTCTCCTTCTTGCTTTTTGCTGGCGAATCTTTGATCTTTCACTTTCGAATCTTCGCGTTTAGTGCTGAAAGAGGTGGAAATCGAAGAGCAATGGAGTCTTCGAACATCGTAGATGTCACGCTTCTCTCCATTTCAAAACCCTAAAAGAACAGAGCTCTTTTGTCTTTGATCCTGAGATTCACGCTTCGAAATCAACTATTTTGTCCTTTCGAGTGGATCTTGAGGAATTTTAAGCAATGGAAGTTGTTGAATCGATATCCATTCCTTCAATTTCTGATGGTGCGAGTGCTAGTGGTGGTTAAACGACAGAATCGAAATGCGAGTGTGGTTTAGCACCTGCGTTGAGGACAGCACTGACATTCCAGAACATGGGAAGAAGGTTTTAGGGATGTCCAAATTTCCTGGTAAGGCTGGTATTCTTTAATTTTAGTTGCAGATTTATCTAGTTTAGTGCCATTTTAGAAGCATAAAGTTTTTTTCTTAACTTTTGTGCTGTTTAGACTGGAAAGCCTTGCAAGTTCTTCCATTTTATTCCTGGTGATAAGGTGATTGAGGGTAGAGCAAGGGATCTGTTACTGAGGTTGACAGATAAGCAGCTTCGATTTCAATCCGAGAATGAAAGGTTGAAGAAGGAAAATGCTGATCTGATCAAGGAAAATGCTGATTTAATGAAGGAAAGGGCTGATTTGATAAAGGGAAATGATGATTTGATGAAGGAAAATGCTGGATTATTAGTGGAAAATGGGAACTTGCTACACGAGAATGGGGTCTTAATAGCTGAATCTGAATCACTAGTGAAGAAGATTAAGCATTTGGAGAAGAAAGTGAAAAGAAGTGAGAAGATTTGCAGAAGATCACAAAAAGTTTGTATCTGTGTGTTTTGCATGTTAAGTGCTGTATCTGCTATTGGTCTGTTTATTGGCCTACAGAGACTGCATTAGAATCCAGGTTTTTGTTAGTTTATTAACCTACAAAGGCTGCACTAGAATCTAGGTTCTTGTGAGTTTATTGGCCTATAAAAGCATTTCTTTTTGTCTGAACCAATTGTAATGTGCCTCTTTGCCAAAAACCTAATATAATATCGAAGATTCTGTGCTGTTGAAATCTGTTATAAATGTTGTACCTAATTGTATATAAATTTGAGAAAATAAGCACTTATACAAAGTGCATACCATTCCAACATGCAGTGTTTACAACAATTGCATGAATGCAGTTTCATACATACAAACCTAAGCAAATTTTGCAAATAAAACCTAAGCAAAAAATACAATAATGGACTGCACATTAGACCAATAACTACATTTACCAACCAACCATAATTGTTATACACAAAAGACAACCCCACACAAAATATGCTCACCCCAGTACATTCAACCTAACAAAATACCAAAAAATCAATCTTCATCAATCTCACTTTGATGCATTTGCAGCCATTCAGGGTTTCTTCTTTGGCTGTCGTGGCTTCTTTGGTTGTTTCCCTTTATCTTTGGCGACTGAAGTAGTTGCTGCTTGTGATTGGGAGGGGCCTGTGGTTGGGAGGGGCCTGTGGTTGTTGTTGCATAGTCCTTTTTAGCCCTCTTCTGTGGCTGTGCATTTTTTGAGCTTCCTTCACACTAAAGAATCAATGTGCATTTGTTAGTATATCTAGCATACCATACCATAAAATAAAAAATTGATTAGTTTAGAACCTTACAACCTCCTGTTTTCTTTTTGCTGTTTGCTTGAATCTATTTGGAGTAGGTGTCTCATTAAGAACTTGACTAAGAGGATCCTCCACTTGACTCATTGGGTTTTCCACATTAGCTCCAATGTTTTCATCAACACCTTGAGGCTGCTCTTCTTGGGGAGTTGCTTGATCCTCATTTTGTTCTTGCTACAAATACATAATACATACATATGAAAATAATGTATAAAACACATATAGAATTGACAATAATTAATTACAAATTTAACTTACAATGTTTGGTGGAACTCCTTTACATGACCTTGAGTTGTGCCCCCTTTTGAAGCATTTTTGACAGGTCATCAACCTCCCTTTTCTACCAACAGATGTTTTCCCCTCCCATTCTTCTTGCTGTCGTTTCTTCTTTGGCCTGCCAGGCATCTTTCTTGGATTTGGTGGTTGCATAGGTGGCATTTTAGTTTCCTTCCATTGGTTAATTCCTTCTATGACTGGGACTTCATATTCATAACTTGCCATGAACATGTGCTTGCTGTACCAGTGTGCTACATAGTCCTCATCATTCTCTTGTTTATGGTTGATCACAGTAACTGCATGCCTACATGGTATTCCAGTCATATTCCAAACTCTGCAAGTGCATGTCTTTCTCTCCACATTTACAATATAAGTTGCCTCCCCATTATCATCAACTTCATACCCGTCACCACCAGGCCATAAAAGTGTGCATCTCTTGCTACCTTCTCGGGCAGGAACAAGTTTTGCCCAAATTTTGCGACCAAAATTCCCAACAAATTTCCTGTTACCATATTCCCTCCTAGCCACCGTCCTCCAGCCACACATTGCCCGTAAGTCTTCCAGCATAGAGAATATGACCTTGTGCCTTACTTCCAGTATTAAACGATTAAAAACCTCACACATGTTATCGACAACATCGCATTTACTATCTTCTTTGAAGAAAGCCTTTGACCAAAACCTAGGGTGTGTGCTCATGATGGCAGGGACTGAACTTGGTTTAATACGCCCTAACTCAGTTAATGCCCTGTTGAAGTCATGTTTAGTGTTAGCCTTAACACATCTCCAGAATGCTACCTTCAATTCTTTGCCTCCATTATTCTTTCGAAAGTTGGCATATTTGTGTCTAGCACATGTTCTATGCTCAGCATCTGGAAATAGATCCTCAATTGCATGTATCAAGCCCTGGAATCACATGTTCTCAACGAGTGCATATAGTTACCAACTAAGTTATTTTCCCCAAATTGGTCCCTGAACTTTAAAGTTCAGGGACCAATTTGGGGAAAATAAAGATTCATAAACATAACAGAAAGTTCAGGGACCAATTTGGGAAAAAGAAATACTCATAAATGTAAGTGAAAGTTCAGGGACCAATTTGGGAACCATGGAATATACCTTCTGTTGGTCAGAAATGAATGTGAAATTACTCCCTGATCCAATCACCATGTCTTTTTGCAGCTCCTCAAGGAACCAGATCCATGTCTCTGTGGTTTCACCTTCCACGGCTGCCCATGCAAGTGGATACATCTGGTTGTTTGCATCCCTAGAAATAGCAACCAACAATACTCCTTTGAACGCTCCTTTAAGGAAGGCACCATCAAGACCAATAACACGCCTGCAGCCAGCTACAAATCCCAACTTCATTGCAGAAAAACATATGTACATCCTTAAGAAAACAGGATTTAAATCTGTAGTTGGTCTTGATGCCAATATAATGATGGTGGAGTAGGGTCTTTCGATCAAAGCTCTGCAGCATAATCCCATACTTTACCATATTCCATCTTGCAATCACCCTCAAATGCCTTCCCAATCTTTTCCTTCACCTTTTTCAATTGATGGTCAGATAACTCAACACTAAACTCTTTCCTAATGACATTATAAATGTCAGTTCTCCTCATGTACAAGGCAGTAAACCCTCTGTGCCTCACCAAGTGCTTTGCAGCTACTGTTGAGCTGCATCGCTTGTTCTTCTTTAACAGCCAATGGCATGTATGCTCAGACACAAATGTCTTCACCATCTAGGATTCAGTTGGTTTGTCCATTGCCAAATAAATATGCCACGGACAATCTGGTGCCTTCAGACATGATGCCCTACATCTTATATTGTCATTTTTTATCCATTTAATATCTTGCCTCTACTTGAGGTTCCACTTATTCACAGCATCCCTAAATTGTTGCTTGTTGGTAAACATCATTCCTAATCTAATGTCAGGAGTCTCATCATCTCCTGCCTCTTGGTAAACCTTATGCGTGGCTCGTCTCCTTTTACCATGTTTGGCTTCACTCGCTTCATCATCAGATGTTGAGAGATAGCTATCTTCTTCATCACTCCCTATCTCATCAACTTCATCCAAATGTTGTCCACTTGGTCCTCCAGCACTAGAACCTGCTAAACAATATAGATTCTCCATTAAAGAAAGTCACATAGTGAAGAACTCAAACTCATTGAAGTTAGTTTAGAACCAAAACCTGTAGTATGTGCATCAGAATACTTTACATCAACTGTTGGTCGTTCAAGGTCTTTCTCAATGCTGTCCTCAATGTTGTTGAAAAACTTGACGTTCTTTCTAGCTTGCAGCGTCTCTTCATCTTCATTGTCTGTTAACTCAGGAACATCAATAATATGATCTTCCTCATCATCATCAGACTCAACTCTGACACCATCATCAGTTACAGCATCCCCATCATGAGTTTTAACACCAACACCTTCCTCAGTAACGTTAGCAGCAGCCCCATCAGCACCAACACTTTCCTCAGTAACATTAGGTTGAACATTGTCAGTTGCATCGTCATTGTCCTCCTTCTGATCATCACCAGGAGCTGGTAAAAGAAGCACTTCTTCTTCTACATGTGCAAAGTCAGGGACATGAAGTATATAAACGTGGATAACATTGACAACCTTTATAATTTCCAGCACCTCCCTCACTGAATCATCATTGACAATTCGCACTAAGCCATCTTCTAAGGTTTTTCCATGTTGCAAATACCATATCCCATCTACCATATCAGGATCATACTTACAAAACTCAACCTTTCTATAAAACTCCCACACTGTTATTTTTTCTGGGTCTACATTCCAAACATAGCACTCCCCATCAACGTATTTAAGGCCTTCGTTCTGCACTAACCTACCACCGACATGCAGAAACATTTTGGCAGTGTTGGCTGACTTATTATCTCTCTATTCAAAAATAAAAAAACAAAAACTCATTAAAGACATAAAGACAGTCGAACAACCAATCTGGCATGCAATTATATTTTGCATAGTTAAACTAAGAAAAACACAAATTACTATTACAATCACCCTAACCCATACAAAAACAAAGAGATCAAGTGGGGACCTAATGTCCTTTTCGCTACCAACTCGAGAAACATACTAAAAAACAACTTTAAATTGCTTTTAGGACATCACCCAACACCTTCACACATCTCGAAAGAAAATAAACTGAAAAAAGGTTCAAACCTCGTCCCCACTGAGATCTGGGTCGGCATCGACTTCTACGATGTTCGAAGACTCCATTGTTCGTCGATTTCCACCTCTTTCAGCACTAAACGCGAAGATTCGAAAGTGAAAGATCAAAGATTCGCCAGCAAAAAGCAGGAAGGAGAATGGGACTTTTGGCTTTTTTGCAGGTACGGTATGCCCTCTGCACTTCTAGGGTTCGAATGGGAAGAAGGGGAGGATATACTGAATTTGGGTAGGAGGTGGGCCCCACGTTTTTATTTTTTTTGCTTGGCGGGAATCTGACGTGTTTTATGACATGTCATCTTTTTTCCATGTGTACATATGACGTGTCACGATATTTGGCCATGTCATCGTGTTCCCGTTAGTTAACAGTA